GTTCCCAGGGTGGCACTGTGGAAACTTGGGAAGGTGTGTCCTAATAAGAGATCCTTGGGTCACAGGGGTGGGGAAATGGCATCAGGAGAGATTATGGGACATGAATCTTCTTTCAACTTATTTGGCCATATAACCTCTTCCACACATGTGCTCCTCTGCCACAATATGACAGTCAAGAGAGAGATACTTTTTACCAGAACTAAGCCAACACTAGTTTTACACTCTTGAATCTCCAAATGTGTTAGTTAAATAAACCCTTTCTTTTTCACAAAGTAACCTGCTTTGGATATTTTATTATAGTGACTAAAACCAATATACCACACACAACATGAAACCATGTTTACTAAGAAATTTTTGCCATAATAAATTTGTTCTTCCTCCCAGATCATAAGCTAGCCTTGACTTTAAATTTCCTGTGCAGCACTTGTTATGTTTCATATGATACCCCTAAGCTTCTAAATGTTTCATTCTTCAAATATCTTTTGTTTTTATTTTTTAAACAAAAGTTACTCCTGTATTTCTGAAACTTTCAGTGTGACACTGACACAGGCATTTAACATGTCCCTTCATTTAATATCCATATGCAATTCTATGAAGACTGGGACTTCCCAAATACAGATGAGAAGACTCAGGTTTTAAAGTAAATACTCACCTCACCTCATTTGTAATGCTTATTATTGAAAGGGTTTTGGCCCAGGCTGGACACTGTAGCTGAAAAAGCCTCAACTGGAACCAGGGAGCTCCTATCTCCCAGGCCCCTAGAGATTTATCTGTGACTCTATCTCCCCCCACCCTTAGGAATCTGCCCCTGGTGCCAAACGTGTACCAATGAAATACCTGTGCATCTCTAATGGCCCTAGGGCACTACCCTAAGCTTAGGCTACTTATATACCACCCCCCACCACGTGTCCACCAGAGAACCACAGATCGCAGGACTCCAACGAGGGTGGAGGGGGGTGGGGGGGTGGAGGAGATGGGGGGGGTATTGGTTATCTCTCTCCATGTTTTCACATAAAGGCCTCTTTTGTTTTATACTTCATAACTTTTGGAAATAATCCTATCAATTATCATGAAGAAAAAAAAATTGAAATGCTGACAAGGATACAGAGAAAAGGAAGCTCTTATACCCTGTTAGAAGTTAACAAATTTGATCTCATAAAAGTGAAAAGTAGAATGTTGGTTACTAGCAAGGGTAGGAAGAAAGAGTTTGTATAATGGGTACCAAAATACAGTTAGGGAGCAGGAAATAATTCCAGTATTCTATAGCATAGGTGACTGACATGGTTTACAACAATTTATCATGTATTTCAAAATAACTCCAAGAGAAGAGTCCAAAAGCTGTCAACACATAGAAGTGACAGATGTTTGAGGATATGGAAATGCTAATGACCATAATTTGATTATTGCAAATTGTATGCATGTATTCAATTATCATAATGTAGCTCATAAATATGTACAAACAGTATATCAATAAAAAATAAAAAGTTAGATAATTTGCAGGAGTTCACAAAGCTAGTAAAGGGCAGGTGTTAATTTTGGATCAAACCCTGACAGTCTTCAAAGTCTATGTTCAGCCTGTTACCATGGATCAAATGCTAAGCAGAGTGACAACCAATCTCCCAACTTTTGGAACTATGTTTGGCCATACAACATCCTTAACTGACTCCCAGAAGCCAAGCAATGCAATGCTATACTTCTAAGTGTAAAATTCCTCTATCTTCTGAATAATTCAGGTTTATGTGTGTAATTAACACATAACTGAAGCTCATTGGTGTGAGTCAAAAACACATCCTATATGGACTCTAAAGTATGCCCAGGACCATGCCAAAATGACTGTTTTGCAGCTCTCATACACTCTGTAAAATACTAGAATAAAAGTTATTTAGCTTCAACAGGTGTTCAGTTTACTTTTTCAGCTCCTGAATAACTCCAGGAAATGTGGCTTATCCTAACCTATTAGCCTGAAGGTTAGTTAGCCTAACATAATGCTCTCAGTGACCAATGTCCTATTATTGATGGGAAATGCTGTCTAGCTACAGGTTCATCATTTTTTAATTATGAAGCTCCAATAAAATGCCTTGGCTTGGCTCACTTAATACTGAAGACTGGAGTTTATAAATCATTGACACTCACCAGTTTCTACAAAACTCTGATGTCAGTTTCTGTAAATTCCTAATATAGTAGCCCAACGCTCTCAATTAACATTTGTTTGCAAGATTCTGGGTCCCCCAAGTAAACAGAGGAAGTAGGGAGTATTATACCCATGTTTCTTAACAAAGCACATTCCTGTTTTAAATGTTATCTCCTCTTATACTCACATAGACATTTCTTGCTAGTAAAATGAGTATGGAAGAAACATCCAAATTTTGAGTGAAGATTCACAATAACTTTAATACAAATATCTTCACAGTTTGGCCCCAAAGAGGACTTTTTCCTTATAAAGTAATGTATACTATACTACCAGCAGTATAATTGTTATAGCCTAAATCTAACCGTTGCACCTCATTGTCTGTTCTGTATGCGTCATTTGACCTCCCCCTCCCCATTTCCCCTTTCTATCCAGCTAGGTTAAGTTTCAATTCCCAAAAGGCTGTAAAAGCCTTAGGTATCAGTTTCCTGTAACCCCCTCCCCTACCCCTCATCCAGCTATCTGTAATAAAATTTGCTGTTCTTTAAGAAATGCTCTCCTCTATAAAGATTGTAAGATCTTACCTAGTTGATATGTTAACCATTGTTGCCCTCTGCAAATAACAGATGTGGTGCTAAAATAAGCTAACAGGGGTTGTTAATTGCTGCTAGGTTTCTATATTCTCTGCTAAGGAAAAAAGATGTTTGCCCAATCTAAACTCGCTTGAATGCAGGGAGACTTGCTTGTTAGCCCAACCCTTTTCTGAACCTTGCTCTTCCCAATGTAATTGCCCCATTTCTGTCCTATAGTGCACCCCAGCCCCCCCTTCCTTGCATTGTGAGACCAGCAGCTGTTTGTGGTTTTTACAAGATAAAAGCCCTGACTTCTAACTGTGAGGCGCACAGTCTTTGGGTCGATCCTAGAGACTGTGCCGCCAGGCCTGGAAATAAAGCCTTTGCTCCCCATATTTTAATTTCTTGCTTCCTTGGGTTTTATTCCGGGGTCCGAGCTATCACATAATAATGACTATTACTCAAACTCTGATCTTATACTAACCTCATTCATCTACAACTTCATTAACAACATATCTACTAAATAGCTCTCTACTAACATTAACGAAATATCTACTAAATACACTAGGAACTGTTCTAGCAGCCAAGAATTCAGTTGTGACAGGAGCACTTCCTCCTACCTCTCATGGAATTTTCACTTTTGTGTGTTTATGTATAAAACACATAAAAACATTTAATGTAACTTCAGTTATTAATAGACAGCATCTGCACAAAAAAGAGGAACCTAAGGAAGAGTAATGTGAGGTGTTTTTGTTTTGTTCTTTGGTGAGATGCTCAGAAATGGAAGTGAAACTTAAACAGAATCTGGGCAATGCTGGAGAAAGCAATTGTGACAATGTCTGTGGAAAAAGTATTACTGATACAGAAAACAGCAAGGGCAAAGTGTATAAGAAAAAAAACCCATCATATTAACATGCATAAGAAACAATAAAAAGTGAATATGGTTGGAATGCAATGTGTGTTGCAGTGGCATCACAAAGGCAGGCACAGAGACCAAAATGCGTGGGGATTTGTGTCTTGGCAAAAAGCGTGGACTTTTGCCTAATGCGACAAAATTGGAGAGTTATGAGGAAAATAGTAAATTGTTGGATTTTTGTAAAACAACTAGTTAGGGTGGTAAGAACAGAAAACCAGAGGTACAACATGACCTGACTTGAATACAAAGACTGTAATGCAGCACATACAGCACTATCTTTGTCAAATTGTATGGCTGGGGTCAGTATTGATTAGGATAACATAAGCAACTTTATTTTAGTACTGTTTGGCTCAAAACATCCATGCACCAACTTCTGAGAAGAAATACTAACATTATTGTGCAGTTATCCTCTGACTTCCAATTTCCTAGATACATTGGTTTTTTTATTTGCCACCTTTTTAAAAATTCTCTCATAAAATCTTGTTGCCACATTGATCTAATCAAATTATTATTAGTAAGTATTATTTATTACCTGCCAACTAAGTGTGAGGCACCAGGAATATAAATCTTTGCAGTCTACAAAGACTGAGAATGTATATGAAAAAGGATCCAACAACACAAGAAAGCATGATGATTGCAGGCATTTAACTAAATGTACCTGCAGTATGTGCAAGTCTTTCAAGGAAAGCACTGCTTCACCACTAACCTGCCACATAATTTTCAAAGTGAAGTTACAACAGACAAGTCCCTAAATTTGAATAAGCTCAAAAGTTAAGGTGACTAGCAAGGTATAGTACATACTCCCCAAATATTAAGACTTCAAGAGAACCTTTCAGAATGAGTTAATGCTTAAATATGCACGTAATTCATTACAAAGTTTTACAATAATAATCTGACACTTTATAAGTATTGAAGAATATTTGGGAGTGGCAGAGGTTATCTCTTACGAAAACATAATGGAGAATCACTGAACTGCATTCGTGAAAAAAGCTCAGAATTCTATAACCTTGATCCTAAGAAATGCTCTGCTTACGAAGTTTAAACCATATTTGCCAAACAGTTTTAACTATTTCCCAAGGTTTTTTTTTTTTTTTTTTTTTTCAAAATGCTTATTTTTCCCTTTGTTTAAATGAATTAACAAACATCCTGCAGCGCATAGGAATGTGGTGACAGGAACTTCCACTCCAGAAATGCTGCAAGCCTCTGGATTAAGGACTGACAGATGATTCTACTTCTTTTCCCTCTCCGCAGGACAACATTTGCCCTCATTTCCTTACCTATAACTGACCTTTTCGATAAACAACATCATCACTCATTTCACACTAAGAGGGCGGTTCCACTAAGGAACCCCCGCGAGCTGGTTCCCGGACACCTAGTGGGGACCGGACCATCACGCCCTCCACCAGTTACAGCCCAGCCCACTGATGCATCACGGGAGTCGTAGGCAGGAGGGATTCTGGGAAATGTAGTCTGGGAACACCGCCCCCTTTGCTGTTCCTGTAATGGCTGCTTCCCAGAAGGTAACGTACGAACTCAGCTCTGAGGATACTTGGTTTGCTCCAGTGTATTTGTAAAACGGGGCAAATTTGCACCTTGCTGGGCCAAAGGAGGAATTCTTTTTCAAATCTTGAAATGAACTTATTTCTCAACTCAGTTTCTTTTATCTTTTCTGTGTAAAAGAACTGATCAACTTTAAATCTAATTCCCCTCTGCTTAGACAAACTGTTTTTTCTGCGCATTACCCATTTCCCTCCTTTGCATACAATCTCCCCGCCCCATACTGATTTTAGCTCCCTCTTTAAAACAATGTTTAAATCCTTCTTCCCACCCTACTCAAATAGGCCCTGTCACGTGTAATCTCTTAGCCTTGGCGTCCGGAAATCCAGAAAGGGAGAATTTCAAGTCAGACAGAAGTTTACATATTGTTTCTTTGGTAAGTCTTAATCCTTCTCACAGTTTCACAGATTTATGTATTGTGTGACTTTATCCAAATTTGTCTGCATTTTCCTAGATGAGAGAGACGTTAAGAAAATGTAATTTTTACTCACTAGAACATTTCAAATTTCTCAATATCTTGTGTATTTTTTCTGTTCTTAATTTTTACTTTTTAATTTGTTTGCTTTATGCATATGTTCTTGACATTGCTGTGGAAGAGTTTCAGGAGTCAAGTTGTTATGAGATTATCCTCAAATGACTGTTTTAAAGAACTTTTTACTTTCCTCAGTTTTTTTTAATGAGGTGTACAATATATGAAATGTTTTGTAAACTTAGAGATTGGATGGACTGTTATTTGTCATGTTACTGCCATTTTCCAAAAGGTAGAAGTTTTTAATGAATCCTTTTTGTTTCCATCTTTAAATTCCAGGAACTTTCAGCCCTCAACCTCCCGACATCATGACCTCAGTCTCAACACAGTTGTTCCTAGTCCTCATTTCACTGCTTCTGGTTCTGCCTGTCGTTGAAGCAGTAGAAGCTGGAGATGCAATTGCTCTCTTGTTAGGTGTGGTTCTCAGCATTACAGGCATCTGTGCTTGCTTAGGGGTGTATGCACGAAAGAGAAATGGACAGATGTGACTTAAGGGCCTGCTGAATCAAACTGCATTCTAAAAACCTTTGTACTGTTGAGACCTTACCTGACTTTGGTGTCTACAGTTACCAACATACAGTGAATATGGTGTTTCCCATGGGGAGAGGGGTGCGGAATGCATATTTGTTAAGTGGGAAAAATTGTTTTCTTTATAACAAGTAATGCACTGAAAAATGCAGCCAATAGTTTGTTACTTAAAAAGCAGGTCAAAACTGTAAGATGGCTAAAAACGTAATATGACTTTAAAATGAATAAGTAATATTTCATAATTTCAAAATTCCCAGAGCACATGAAAAAGAAATAAGTAAGTTCTTGCCCAGAATTTTTCAAATGACCAGTGTTTAGTTCTAATTACTGCCTCCTGAAAGGTTGGGGAGTCCTTTTCTCCATATTTTCAGATTTTTATTTTGTTTTACAAGTTAATATTGTACTTCTATATCAAATAGCCAAGCATTGAAACTTTTATCTCTGCCCCCCAGAGAAAGTTTAGAAAAAAATATACTCATAGCTAATATTGGAATGACAAAAATGAATAGATTTAATTTTTTTTACAAAACCTTTATATTGGCATTGAAATGGAAAAAAAATTTACTGTAATACAGAAAAAACCTTTTATATTGAATGAAATTCCCCTGGTGAGAAGTACAGTACTATATTAAATATAAACCTGTTAATGTTGTAATGTGTGGTGTTCATTTCTGTTTATTTTGAATAATTTTCATGTGTGTACAAATTTCTGTATAAGCTAAGTAGAGAAGGAAGAGTTGACTTAATCTGACATGATCACTAGCTTGAAGAGACTGTAAGTGAGAAGTGGACAGTATTGAGATAGGAAAGTGCCCCTGATAGAAAATATACAGATACAGAAGCAAAGAGTGATGGCCTGTGCTGATTTGCAAACCACACAAATAAGACATGCATACACTTTCTGTGACTCAGCTGCTTATAGAGTTCTCAAACCAGCAATGTTGCTTACTTGGGTGTTTGTTAGAAATGCAGATTTTAGGACCTACTAATATAATCGGATCAGAATCTGTTTAAGAGCCTAAGATAACTGACACTATTACAGGTTCAGTAAGACTGCTACAACTTATTAGAACTCAGAAACCATTTTAAGCACATCAGATTCTCTGATTTCCGAAACCCTTTCCTAGTTGTATAGCAGTGGGGTAAATCCTGGTATTTTATGTTTAACAAGGGTCCTTCAGTGATTCATTGAGGTCCAAGGATGAAACCAGTATAAAATAGTCTTAGTCATTCTCGTTTATGATGTCACTGGTAATAACTAAGTATCTTGCTCTCTGGGTGCCAATTAGATGCTCAATTTTCATCCAAAAACCAGCAGCAGCAAGTAAAATCCGGTTTATACTGTTTTGTCAAGAGAGCTGATCTGGTTTGCTTGGGCAATGTGGTTAACAGTACAAGTAGTGAGGGGCACTCAATAAAGAAAAGGAAACTAATGGATCGACTTTTAATCAGAGAAAGCAGTAACACATAAGTTGGCAATTACATATCTGATTTTTGCATGCTTTTTTTTGGAAAAAAAAGAATGATAGAAATCAAATCATTTCATCTCCCATACAAGCCCATTGGTAATGATTTAGAGAAGCTGCTACTTTCTCATAAATGAACTTTTTCACTGAAATGGGAAAAGCCAAATCTAAAGTACATTTTGAATCATAGTACAGTTGTCATTTAGTCATGTTCTTTAAATCTTAAAAAGTAGAGCAAAAATCCTTTATTGAATGTTTATTTCCAGAACTAATAATTAGAAGACTGCTATTTTCCTATTTACCACGTAGCAGGGAATTCTGGGATAGCCTGCAGGAATTTCTAGTGGTTATGATGGAAATCATGTCTTCTAAAAATGACTTCATTTTCAGCGTAAGTTGGATTATGTGGTTTTGCCTAAAGTATAGCAGAAGCTGGCTTAATGACTTCTAGCCACCAGCTCTTTTGAGAATCCGAGAGCTTTTGTCCTTTTTCCTAGAAAACTGCCATTGTATGCTAGCATATTTGAGATTAATTTCAGAGAATTCATGGAGCTGAAGTCCATTCAGGCATCTCAAATTGGAAAGCAAATTCCTTTTATAAAAAATTTTTTTTAGATTTTTTTTTTCCAGTTCTAGAATTGCTTGATTTGTTTTGAGGAATGGTACCTGCTGTGGAGTACAAGAATAGGATTGTTAAGTGTCCCCATGAATGCAGTACAATTTAAATGTATATAAATGTTCTCTCTGTGTTAGCTTGATTAAAAGGCGGAAGACTAAGTTGGAATCAACATATGAAGAATTTAAGGTTCTTGGCAATAATTAATATCTCTTTTTCCTCTTATTTTAACCTTCATTTTCCCCTGATGCCAAAAGTACATCATTTCAGCTTCATGACTTTGTCTTTAGTTTTCACATGTTTGATTAGAATGTATCTTGGTGTGATTTTTGTGTTTATCCTGTTTGGGATTTGTTTTTGCATGTGTCCGTTTGTCTTTTCTCAAAGTTAGTAAATTTTCAGTCATCATTTCTTCAAGTTCTTTCTCAGCCTAACCCCCGCTCCCTTTTTTTCTAGGACTGTCCTGACTCAGTGGTAGGTGTTTTGTTATACATCCCTAAAACTTATTTCTTCACCCATGTTGCCTTGTTCATACTGGGCAATTCCTTGTATCTGTCCTCAGGTTCACCAATTCTGCTGTTGTATTTTTCAGTTTCAAATTTATCATTTGATTTTTCTTTTCTGAAACTTTTTTCATTTGATGCAAACATGTTTGTGATTATTCACTGAAAGACCTTTCTGATGACTGCTTCAGAATCCTTGTCAGATAATTCTAACATTTGTTTCATTGCCATGTTAAGCACTTAATGAATTGAACCATGGGTCTTCCTTAAGTAACATGAAAAAAGTTTAGTTGCTCTACAGGTCATTTAAGGATGTGCAGGGAATTTGGTTTTGCCCCTTCAGGAGGACAGCAGGTCTGTTCAGGAGTCTACCGGATTATTTGTTTTATTGAAATTTTATTGAAAGTCATTAACTTATTTAATGTTTGTCTCCTGCAATGGAAAGTAGAAGCGTGTAGTTTGATTGAATAATCCTAGATAAGATTTTGACACTTTGCTGTGGAAACAGCCAAATCAGTATTTTAAAAATAGTACAATTATTATTTTTTCCTTATTTTAGTAACTGCATTTTTCTAAATGTGTTCTATGATTTATTTATATCGAACACCTCAGTGCAAAAAAGATAAAGAGCAGAAAAATAGTAATTGCTGCAAAAACAAAAAAATGTGGTTTAATTTCTCACTGAACTGTAGTATTAGAGCTATTCTATCCCTCTGATATTTCTGCTGAATCTTTTATTTATAGATGATTAAAAATTTGAAAATATTAATTGATACTTCATAATCTGAAATGAAATTATGAAATTTTATATACAAGAGTGTTAATTATATGTAAAGAGCTAATCATGTAGCACTATGTTAGACATTGGTGATATAAATACATGTTCTCCAATATTAATCAAGATATTTATGCTCTAGATAAATCTGCATAAATCACTTAAAAGAATTTAGAAGCAGGCTTGATCAAGAACAGAAGCTATATCCTATTTTAATTCAAATGGTCTATTAGAGCAACTTATTTTGGCAAAAAAATTATCAGGGCATTATGAATCTTAGTATGATATGTGCTAACTTTTGCTTTTTTTTTTAATCAACACTTTGCAAATTTGAAAAAAAATGTCAGTTATGAAGCACAGTACCTTGAGCTAATAATTTAACCTCCATAATTCATCTGTAAAGTGATGTCAGTAGTCTGTAAGAGGGTTCCTAGTGATAGAATTTTGTGACTCCATAAAAACATTTTTTAAATTCAAAAATAACAAGGGCTAATTTGTTAAAAATGTTATAATTATCCATTTTCAGTTGTAAGCAATGAGGAGCTAATTTCTTTAAATTCTTCACTGAAAACTAGTCTAGTCATTGGTAGTTTTTGGGCTTCAATTGAGTAAAGCAGGAGCAGCTTATTTTCTGTACTGGATGAATATAATTAGGATTGTCTCAAGAAGGAAGGATAAAAATAAATGGAAGCCCTGTCACTCCTGTTCAGAGCAAGCAGTCCACATGCTTATTGATACCAGCCTAGAAGTGTCCAAGAACAAAAGCAACATTACAATCCCTCCATTGTCTTTTAGGGCACTACTGGTAAGATTTAACTAATAGCATCTTTCCAGTGGCAAGACAGACACTTTGAGAGGATACTTGGCATCTTTAAACCTTCTCTAAATCCTGCAGAATCCACCCATTTCTCTCTATCCCATTGAATTCCTACTATTGTGATTATGTGGATAAGGTCCACAGCAGCCTCCAGCCAATCTTGCAACCCAACTGCCAGTCTTCTCTGCAGTCTTTTCTAACCACAGCAATGAAACATCTTTAAAATTAATTTTTCTCTCATGGTGCTCAGGCTCACCTTGATCCTCTAGGCCCCAAATATCTTCGTAACTCAGCCTTCCAAGTAGCTAAGTTTACAGATTCTTAGCTTGTAATGCACCCCTCCCTCATGATGAACTTCATCAAACACAGACTGCATCCTGTTACACTCCAGTTCAAAACTCTTGATTTCCTCTTTTTGTGAATTCTTAGGAAGTAAGCACTGTGTGGTCTGCCCTTGTCTCCTCCCATATTTCTCCAGACTCATCAGTGTTCAAAACCACTAAGCTGTCTTGCATTAAATCTTTTTAACTTTATAGGAAGTACCATATGAGTTCTTTTGGCCTTGTCTTCCCATGAAATCATCCTACATGCCCTCCTCCCTGGGTGCAATGCTGCTGCTTTTGCCTGTAGTTTTACCTAGGACTCCTGTCTTACTACTAATGCCTTCTTTGGCTTAATTAGGACTTTTTATTTTTTTGGACATTTTCCCAACCTTCAAACCTGAATTGTTTATCTCATTTTATGCTTGTATAACATTCATTATGTCTTCTGCCAGGTGCAAATCACGCTGTATTGGAATCTCTACCTATCTGTATTTCAGTTTCCAACAGAATAAAGTATGATCCAAGATCCAAAGTTAGTATAGCACAGGATATACAGTGCATCGTGATACCATCCCATGGAGTAAATACAGCTTTACCAACTTTTCAGATCTTACATAGATAGAGGACAAGTCTCTAATTCATTGTGAGATTTCTATCATTTTTGCAGACATTTAAGTTATATTTAGAGAATGATTTTAATAAGTATTAAGATAGTTTTTTTGAATGATTATATATGCTAATGTATTTTTTAAGCCTGCATATGTAGCATTTAATTGAGAAAAGATCCAACATTTGTTTTGAATGATGTTCTACTCTTTTCCCTTATTGTTCTGTTACCCATAGCACAATCCAGCAACAACTGTGATAGAAATACCAGAATCAAATGTCTTACCAGGCTCCAGGCTCAAATTTTGTATATTGTACCTCCACAGAACCTTCCAAAAGAGAGTTAAAAATATTCACCTTCTAGCATCCATAATGCATTGTTTTTACCTGTGCTATTTTATTTCATTCTTTTTATGTTTATTTATTATTCCTTTTTGTCACCCCTACCTAGTCACCTTTATCTGTTTTTTCCCTCTCAAATACTGGGGATGGAACCAAGGGCCATCACACTGAACCACATCCCAGCCCTTTGTTTATTTTAATTTTGAG